GAAAAGTGGGGCTGGAAGAGACCTTAAGAGGTCATCTAGTCCATCCCTCTGCACAGAGGCAGGACCATGCTTGATAGATGTTTGTCTAATCTGTTCTTAAAAACAATGATGATGATTCCACAACCCCCCTAGATAACCTGTTCCAGTGTTTAATGGTCATCAAAACTCACCCTCTTTCATGAATAGGTTTGGTTTCAATGAATCTGCATTTTCTGATGAAAAAGGTTTTGTTGGAAAATTCCTGATCAGTTCTAGTTTTTTAATACTTTGGTTCCTTGGCTCCAGAACACTAGATTCAAAGGGCATGTACGTGATCCCCTAATGGTTAAATATGCAGACAGGGTTATGTAGCTGCATAGCAGGGCACACATCTCCTACAGAATTTCTCAGCAAGGGCAAAGACATGAAGGACACTACCAAACCAACAAAAAGCATCAGGAGAGCTGTGCAGCTCTGACAGTCAAAAAAATGCTGGAAGCATTCTAGTGTGTGCAACGAAATACAGCATGTCAGCAGCAGCTATTTCTGAATATTTAATGCTCTCAACTTGGGCATTCAAAGATGATGCAGGAACTGTTGTGTAAGAGCAAAATGCTGTGCATTATTTGTGGGCACCTTGAAAGAGAAAATGATAGATTTTACACATTATATTGCAAAGAACTTGTTTGGTAGACATGTTATTGGGCTCAACTTTAAAATCAAAACTCTCAGTATATAAAAGTAAGGGATTTGATATTAGAAAAGCACTGAAGTATGATGAACTGATGAAAGTAAAGTTTAAATAATGTCACAAAGCAAGTGACATACACTCCCCCCCCCACACACACACACACACAAAATGAGATTTGCTATAAACTGGTTCAAAAAAGTCTATCAGTTACTAGAGATCATAATAAATTCACCATGTGCATTCTGTAATTTCTTATAGAAAAATCTCCTGCATCCCTGCCACTTTTGACCCCGTTTCCGCTCCTGCTCCCACTTATGTCAAATGAAATTTTGCTAGTGATCTTAACAGGGCAGGATTGGACCCATTTATTCCTCTGCAAACTGCTTATTCAATTTAATACAAGCTCAGCACAGGTAGCATTAACAGCAGATGCACTGCCTGAGAAGCCAGTCACACATTAGGTATTCCTTATGGCCCCGATTCAGCAAAATACTTAACACATGCTTAAATGCTTTGCTGAAGAGGGATGCACTTAAACATGTGCCTAAGTGTTTTGCTGAACTGGCCCCCAAAACATTACAAATCAACAGTTCATTGTGAATATTTGCAGTGCTTTTATAGTTTGTCAGCTACTAGGCTAGCCCATTAAAAAGCCTCTCACATAAAGAGCAGATTCATAGATATTAAGGTCAGAAGGGACCATTATGATCATCTAGTCTGACCTCCTGCACAATGCAGGCCACAGAATCTCACCCACCCACTCCTGCGAAAAACCTCTCACCTTTGTCTGAGCTGTTGAAGTCCTCAAATTGTGGTTTAAAGACTTCAAGGAGCAGAGAATCCCCCAGCAAGTGACCCGTGCCCCATGCTACAGAGGAAGGCGAAAACCCCCCCAGAGCCTCTGCCAATCTGACCTGGAGGAAAATTCCTTCCCGACCCCAAATATGGTGATCAGCTGAACCCTGAGCATATGGGCAAGATTCACCAGCCAGATACCCAGGAAAGAATTCTCTGTAGTAACGCAGATTCCACCACATCTAACATCCCATCACAGGCTATTGGGCCTATTTACCATGAATATTTAAAGATTAATTAATATTTTTAAGTCATTTAAATCAAACTCCCATTTAACTATCAATTAGTTTAGATATAGTTCTCCTTTCATCACTGTGGCTAGCAAAGATAAAAGCCTGAATAGCGACTTCTCTGTTTAACAGTTAGCTTGCTCCCCCTGCCTTGTTCTTGAAGGAATGTCATAATCCAATGTTAGTAACACAACAATACTTCCAGTGTAGTAAATAGAATCATAGAATCATAGAATCATAGAATATCAGGGTTGGAAGGGACCCCAGAAGGTCATCTAGTCCAACCCCCTGCTCGAAGCAGGACCAATTCCCAGTTAAATCATCCCAGCCAGGGCTTTGTCAAGCCTGACCTTAAAAACCTCTAAGGAAGGAGATTCTACCACCTCCCTAGGTAACGCATTCCAGTGTTTCACCACCCTCCTAGTGAAAAAGTTTTTCCTAATATCCAATCTAAACCTCCCCCACTGCAACTTGAGACCATTACTTCTCGTTCTGTCATCTGCTACCATTGATAACAGTCTAAAGCCATCCTCTTTGGAACCTCCTTTCAGGTAGTTGAAAGCAGCTATCAAATCCCCCCTCATTCTTCTCTTCTGCAGGCTAAACAATCCCAGCTCCCTCAGCCTCTCCTCATAAGTCATGTGTTCCAGACCCCTAATCATTTTTGTTGCCCTTCGCTGGACTCTCTCCAATTTATCCACATCCTTGTAGTGTGGGGCCCAAAACTGGACACAGTACTCCAGATGAGGCCTCACCAATGTCGAATAGAGGGGAACGATCACGTCCCTCGATCTGCTCGCTATGCCCCTACTTATACATCCCAAAATGCCATTGGCCTTCTTGGCAACAAGGGCACACTGCTGACTCATATCCAGCTTCTCATCCACTGTCACCCCTAGGTCCTTTTCCGCAGAACTGCTGCCTAGTCATTCGGTCCCTAGTCTGTAGCTGTGCATTGGGTTCTTCCGTCCTAAGTGCAGGACCCTGCACTTATCCTTATTGAACCTCATCAGATTTCTTTTGGCCCAATCCTCCAATTTGTCTAGGTCCTTCTGTATCCTATCCCTCCCCTCCAGCGTATCTACCACTCCTCCCAGTTTAGTATCATCCGCAAATTTGCTGAGGGTGCAATCCACACCATCCTCCAGATCATTTATGAAGATATTGAACAAAACCGGCCCCAGGACCGACCCTTGGGGCACTCCACTTGATACCGGCTGCCAACTAGACATGGAGCCATTGATCACTACCCGTTGAGCCCGACAATCTAGCCAGCTTTCTACCCACCTTATAGTGCATTCATCCAGCCCATACTTCCTTAACTTGCTGACAAGAATACTGTGGGAGACCGTGTCAAAAGCTTTGCTAAAGTCAAGAAACAATACATCCACTGCTTTCCCTTCATCCACAGAACCAGTAATCTCATCATAAAAGGCGATTAGATTAGTCAGGCATGACCTTCCCTTGGTGAATCCATGCTGGCTGTTCCTGATCACTTTCCTCTCATGCAAGTGCTTCAGGATTGATTCTTTGTGGACCTGCTCCATGATTTTTCCAGGGACTGAGGTGAGGCTGACTGGCCTGTAGTTCCCAGGATCCTCCTTCTTCCCTTTTTTAAAGATTGGCACTACATTAGCCTTTTTCCAGTCATCCGGGACTTCCCCGGTTCGCCACGAGTTTTCAAAGATAATGGCCAATGGCTCTGCAATCACAGCCGCCAATTCCTTCAGCACTCTCGGATGCAACTCGTCCGGCCCCATGGACTTGTGCACGTCCAGCTTTTCTAAATAGTCCCTAACCACCTCTATCTCCACAGAGGGCTGGCCATCTCTTCCCCATTTTGTGATGCCCAGCGCAGCAGTCTGGGAGCTGACCTTGTTAGTGAAAACAGAGGCAAAAAAAGCATTGAGTACATTAGCTTTTTCCACATCCTCTGTCACTAGGTTGCCTCCCTCATTCAGTAAGGGGCCCACACTTTCCTTGGCTTTCTTCTTGTTGCCAACATACCTGAAGAAACCCTTCTTGTTACTCTTAACATCTCTGGCTAGCTGCAGCTCCAGGTGCGATTTGGCCCTCCTGATATCATTCCTACATAATAGTTATGTTGAATGCTTGACTAGGACAGACATGCAAGAATCAGTGGTATTTATAAAGGGGTAAGATTCTATTTTAGCATAGACACCTTCAGAATCAGGAATAGCACAATAGGAATTATTAAAATTCATTTTAAAAATTAATTTTGTTGAAATATATTTTAAAGTATGGGTGGATATGGTGGTAGCTTGCTTCAGAATAAGCCATAACATGCTAACTGGGTGAGTGTTTCAGAATCCTAGCAAAAATGATGAAATGTCTTGAATTCTATTTTTTTAAAGAAGTCTGTCATAAATTAGAAGAATAAGAATTGGATATCAGATTAGCAAACTAAATTGCTCTGAGAAAAATCAGTTTACATGCCATTAAAAAAATCCTATGTTTAAAGATTTTACGGTTCTAAATTGAAGCATTCAAAAGTTGGAAGATGAAAAACAAAATGCCTTTGAAACCTTAATTCTGCCCTCTTGTGTGTATACATTATGATACAGATTACATATTAATTTTTCCTTTCCTATTCAGAGTCAGATCATGGCTTACCCTACACCTGCCCATAGAGACATAAGGGGACTGAGCCGTGAGACTCTGCATAGCCTCCCAGGCCTATTCCTTCTCCCAAGAGCAGATAGGTAGGAACTGGGCAGAGCCTTGACTCCACCCCCCAATATGTCAATCAGCACAGTTTCTTCCATGTGCTGTAGCTATATAAGAAGGAGGTAAGGTCTGCACAAGAGATGTAGCGATGTTGACTGATTAAAAAAAAAAGACAGATCTTGGAAGTGTTATGGTAAGAAATGGTAAGATTAACAGGTGGATCTATAGAGCCACCTGCTGATGATTGACTTGAAATATTTGCACCTCTTATACATACATTTTTACATTATTCCTGTGATTTAAACAAGAAATAGATCTTAACATTTAATGGTAGTTGTGTGTTTTATCGATGCTTTTAAGCATTTCCCATTCCTCTTAATAGTTTCCTACAGATGACCAGCAGAAAAATATTTGCTAGCACTCAGATATTTAAAGGACATTTCTTCCCCTTCAAAGCATATTTTGTAGTCCCATAAACTTTGTTTATTTGCTACATTTCTTCCCAAAGAAAGCAAAATTTTCCTGTGAAAATGACCTGCAAAGATGTCTTTTCTTACCTTCAGCTGTTTTAGCTGCTGCTGCTGTCTTGGAAACTAAAAATAAAATAATTATGTAGCTATAATCAGTCAACAGTGGAGCTTTGGCAGTTTAGACAACAATCACTTTTACAATCTAGACATGTTCGGCTATTGAACATCTCAATAATTCTTGCAAAAACTAATTAAATTTTCTTGAACATGTAAGTGTTGATTTTATATTTCCTAAGGAAAGATAATGTTCCATATGGGTAAATCTTTTTGTTGTTGTTATTTCAGAATTTGTACTGGGGGGTGGGGAGAGTTTTTTGTAAGAAGGACTAGTGCTGTATCGACTCTGTTGACATGTAGTGCTATCAAAAGACTTAAACCGGGTTTATAAGAAAGTTTCTCATTTCCACTCTAGCCTGGGAAATGCTAAATGCACAAAGAGGTAGCATATTCCATTTTTAAAGAGAGTGAACGTTCAGTTCTGATAAATGTTCATAACTCTGGAGATTTATCAGAATGATCTGAGTCTATAGAACTGAACTGGAAATCTGGTCACAACAGGCCCTCTTACCAGATTTCCAGTATTCCCTGCCTCCATCAGGCTGTAACTACCTCAAAAACAGTCTTTCTTGTCATATTTCATCGCTTTTTCCTTCTGTTTTGGGCCAAAATCTGGAAGAATCAGGGGTGCATGAAAAAATGAAAAACCATTTTAGAACAATTATCCAAGAGAAACCATGGCAAGATTAAAAGCAACCAACTGCATTTATATATTTGAGCATCTGAAGTAGGCCCCAGCTCTGAGTTTTATTTATTTTATTCTTTGAAAGACCTGAACTGATGATTCCGCACTAAGTAATCAGGGAACTTCGGGGCTTGGAAGGAGTCCCCAAAACAGCACTCAAGAGGGAATCGGAGCTCAGCATTTTCTCTTTAATAAGTGACACCATTTACATGGGTTAAAGTGGAAGATGGGAAAGATCAAGGTTTACAAAGTAAAGTCATCAAGCAGGTAAATGACAGTACAAAAGCTTCTGAGTAATATGCAACAAGTTTCTTCAGAGGCTATTTTAAAAACAGCCAGGTCTTTGTAGAGATGGACTGAGCAGAATAATTTGGATCCAATTCCCCAATTTCAGTGGAATTTAATTGGAGCTAGGATTTTGGTTTAGGACTATTACTAGTTTTCAAAGCAGGCATCAGAATATGCATCATTTGGAATGTGAGGGCATTTCATTTAAAATGCCACATAGAGGCTGGTTTGGTTAATGGTAATTGTAGGTTCACTATATGTATTGCATTCTGGTAGTTGTTCTGAATTGAGAAGACTGTCAAGCAATAGTAAAAACTCCATTCTTGCAAATCTGTCTGATCCAGCTGAATCTCTCTTTATGTTTGAGAACTTAAATGCAGCAACAACACTTGCATGTATATAAATCTCCCCACTATATTTTCCACTGAATGCATCCGATGAAGTGAGCTGTAGCTCATGAAAGCTTATGCTCAAATAAATTTGTTAGTCTCTAAGGTGCCACAAGTCCTCCTTTTCTTTTATTCAGAACATACTCTCCAGGAGCCTTAAAGATCTGTTTTGCAGATGGTTTCCTGTCCTTCGGGGTGAATTTCCATTGAAAAAAACGAATTCTAGTAAGATTCCTTTCTGCAGTGCAGAAGAAATATTAATGCTCCAGGCCTATGTAATACACCAGAGACAGATTGCAGGAACTGGGATTTTACTGCTGCTTTAGAACCAGTTTCCTTAAGTACTGCTGTTTCTCCTTTCACAGCAACAACAATTGCACGTACCCATCAAACTAGTTTTCATTTCCTGTTTGAAGCCAAATGCCAGACAAAATTCTGATAGCTAAAGAGAGTTTGTACAAGGAACACCAGGAAAAATTTGGAATATTAGCTTTGAAAATCAAATACTGTATATTTACTGAGCTTGGTCACCTAGAAGTGCCATCAATTTCCTGTTGAGGAACTCTATTAGGCTTCAAAATTACCTCAACATTTTTTTGCTTTTTCTGTTTAAAAATACAAGATTCAAGCTGTAAAAATAATCAACTTTTAATTATGCGAATTAATATTCAGAGAGTGGATTTTCTTTGTGGGGTGGGGATAAGGAAAAATATAGGAGAAACAACACAAACCAAAAAGAGCAATACAGAGATATAGGAATATACCAGAACTGACCAGATGGTTTTATTTCTCAATAACAGGTTTCAGAGGAACAGCCGTGTTAGTCTGTATTTGCAAAAAGAAAAGGAGTACTTGTGGCACCTTAGAGACTAACCAATTTATTTGAGCATGAGCTTTCGTGAGCTACAGCTCACTTCAGCTCACGAAAGCTCATGCTCAAATAAATTGGTTAGTCTCTAAGGTGCCACAAGTACTCCTTTTCTTATTTCTCAATAGTAAGCCGTACCAGTTTTCCCTCTTATCAAATATTTACCTTATATTTCACAAACATTCCTGTTACTAAGCTCATTCATTAGAAATTTTTTGAAAAGTGAACACAAATTGGGTGAGATAATTAAAGTGAGGTAGTTAAAATTCAAATGAATATTTTGGTTTTTATACTTTGGTTTACCTAAAGTTTTCACTTGAAAATCCCCATTTCGTTGTTGTTGTAACATAACTCAAAAGAGTGAACACTGAAAAAATACCTGGTTGGGCGGTAGTTTTATTAGGTTTTAATAATTTAAACTGAAACCCAAAACTCTAGGTGCAGTATTTAGAAATGGGCATGAAATAAAACCTACTCAATCAAAATGTGTGGGTTTTTAACATCCAGCCTGGATTCAGATATGAATTTTGTCGAAAAAAGCTGGGTGTCTAACTTTGGGTTCCTAAAGTCATATTTAGGCACCTAAATAAATGGATTGGTTTTCAAAAAGTTCTGAGCACCCAGCAGCTCCTGTTGCTGTCTGTGGCAACTGTTGGTGATGAGCAGTTTTTAAAAATTAGACTACTCTTTTAGGTGCTTAAACATGGATTTAGGAGCCCAACTTTTAGAGACTATGGTTCAAAGTAGGTTTTCAGGTAGCTTTTATTTTATGATGAAGTGCTCTAAAACCCTGAATTCACAAATCTCTGGTCTTTGGCTTTTCACATCCTATATTCTGATCCAAATCTACTTTCTAGGCTTCCGCCCATTTCTCTAATACTGCTAAAAATACATCCTTGCAATTTTGTAGGTGCCATGAGAGATTCAAGATATTCTTGCAACTTTCAGAGCACTGCTGAAGTAAGTATCAGAGGCCATTAGATCTTAGTGTCTTAGGGATCTGCCCTATGCCCTGTTCTCTTTAGAGAATTGCTGTAGCTCATGAAAGCTTATGCTCAAATAAATTTCTTATTCTCTAAGGTGCCACAAGTACTCCTGTTCTTTTTGCGGATACAGACTAACACGGCTGCTATTCTGAAACACATACATAGTGTCACAGCAACTACATCAGTGGCCTTTTGTATAATCCAGTAGATGGTGCTATGATGCAATAAACAAGCTTTACAAATATGTGAAATACACTGAAAATAGAGAGAGAAGGTTATTCTTTATCCTTTACCTGGTGCTGCTACTTTTATAGTGACTGGCTTGGCTGTGGGAGCTTTTGCTGGCTCTTAAAGAGAACAAATTAAATAAATTACTGTAAAGTGTTATAGCATGAAAATACAGAAGTATAAAGGAAGTCTGCAAATGAAAAATATAGCCCTTGGCATATTTCTTAGTGAAGAATGAAGAAAAGAGATCATCAGAACAATAGACGTGCCCAGACACACTCCACTAATTCACAGGCATGAAAACAATCAGCAAAACTGTTTTTTTTTCGAGTAGCCTGTCAAATATTATCATGAGCCAGTGGCTTCCTTCTCCCCCCGCTGAAGAGTGATCCTGGAGCCACTGCTTGGTTGCTACTGCATTAGACCCTGCAGCTGCTGAGTCTCTCTACACAGAGGAGCAAGGCCAGTCAATCCATGTAACTGTAGCTCCGCTGGTCTTGTTCCTCTCATAGCATATGGACAAACTCTCTCTGGGTTGGGGCAAAGGAACCCCCCATGGAGCATACTTCAAAGTTGTGAAAAGAAAGGGTACCTCTAGAAGCGCTCCAATAATCTTGTCCAAACACTGCACAAAAGAACCAGACTGAGTCCACTGGGTTCATCCACTGTGTACTAGAGTTTAATTAATCCTTTGCATCCTTAGCAACTGCTAGAACAGATTGTGCTTAAACCAAGATAATTTAACAAATAGTCATAAGCCAAAGCGTACTGGTTTTCCTAATGGAATTTGGTTTGTCAACTAAAACAATATATATATATTCTCTGATTTACAGTTCACATTTTCATATTGCAAAAGGAAATAATTAATCATTTTAATCATAATCTGAATTACAGAATGCCAACAAAATGTTAGTTAATCCTTCACATCTGTCACAATGTTATTAAAAAGAAAAAAAAAACTATGGCTAAATCAGAAATTCAATTTCCAGTTCTTCCTCTCTAGTATATTGAGAAGTTCATGAAAGATGCATCAGAATGCCTTGTAAAACATAATGAAAACAAAATATAAAGTTTAATGCATGTGGGATTGGTTTGTTTGTATCCATTTAAAACTATGCAGTAAATTAGTTCTAGAGCACTATAATTACTCCTGGGGGATCATCCCTCCTTTATTAAGATCTATAGGAGGAGACCTTGTTTGAGGGTTTTCTTAGCATTTCTATCCAGGTCCCCACTCCTGCAAAAGAAGAGGAGGTTCAATCCACAAATTCTACAGATCTCAGGGATTCACTAGAATTATAGGTCCTCCCCATGGGCTCTGATGATGTCTTTGCTCTCCCTCCAATTCTCAGGCAATGCAGCTCCACTGGAGCCAGGCTGCCAAGATATCCCATAAAGGCAGCTGCCTCTGGAACTACTCTTTAAGGGGATTCGCAAGTCAGAGGGACTATGTGCTGTGGCAAGGCACCTCCTCCATCTCACCAGGCTCAGCGCTTCCCCCCTGGCAGTGGGGGCCCCCCATGCCAGATGGTGTTTATTTTCCCACTTGAGGTTTACTTAGGGTGACCAGACAGCAAGTGTGAAAATCGGGACGGGGGTGGCGGGTAATAGAAGCTTATATAAGAAAAAGACCCAAAAATCGGGACTGTCCCTATAAAATCAGGACATCTGGTCATCCTAGGTTTATTTCCCAATATTTTCCAGGAAGGACTTGGGGCCAGCCCAGGAGCACTCCTCTGCCAAACAAAAAGAAACAAATTCACAACATAAAACAAAGGGAGATACTTTTTCCTACCCCCTCCATGGGGGCATATGCAGTGGTGCTGGGGACACGGCAGCATCCTATGGCTTGAAGTGGTTTCCATCATATATAGGGTTTACAGTTTTGTTCGGTGGCTCTCAGCACCTCCACTATACACATTGTTCCAATGTCACTAGGCAGGTGGCCTGGTTATTATGCCAGTCCTCTCCCTAAACAGGCAGTCAGTTACGTAGCTTCCCCTGTAGGGAGGAGGGTGGCCTTCCACCCTGGAGAAGCCTTTCTCCGTGCTGTCACTAGCCCTGCAGTAACTTGTCTCTCCTCCTCTCTCACTGGAGGTGGGGTTTTTAAAGGTGTCAGGCAACCCTTAATTGGACTCAGGTGTCCCTAGTTGACCTGAGGTAACCTCTTTTCAGCTTATAGGGAAAAGGACCTTTACTGTTCTAGAGCTAATATACCTCCCTTCCACCACTGTCTTACGTCTGTCCAGCCTGACTTTGTTATAGTGAAAAAAGTAATACAGCAAATAGGCACATGAGTAGTTTTACTCCTGTGAGTCATCTCATTGATTCAATAGGATAACTCGTATGAATAACGTTACCCACATGCCTTGCTATTTGTAGGACTGGACTCTTGGTTTGTATTATCTGATTAGTTTTCATGCCAGGCTTGGGCGGGATCATGATGAACGGGCCTCCTCAAAGCATGGATCTTGATTCCCAAGGGAGATACCTCCATAAGGTGCTGGGAAGATGGGAGACACTTGCTGCAGAATGGTTGAAATCCCTTCGACACAGCCCAGAAAAGATCAGGCATGGATCTGAAAGACTGGTTGGGCATTCCCGAAACCGTGAGTATCCGTGAAATTTTTACTCATAGGTAGCATTTGAGACAAGCATGATCCTTCAGAGATTAACATATTCTATAATCTTTAAAAATATACCACACATTCAAGATGTAAGCAGTGTCAGGATGAGCTCCACCCTGACATCTGGTGGTGAGGTGTGGCAAGTTGTGGAAAAGAACTTTAGGGGCCGATCTCATTTGCATAGGCACACCCACCCCGCCTAGAATGAGGCTATAGCTGCCCAAATGGTCACTTTGGCTGCTGTGGGATCCCTAGTGTCTCTGTTATTGGGGCAAGAAGAATAAATTGTTATTACCCTGATTATGGGAACTGTGCTTGGAACTGTACTTGGCCTTTTGTTATGATGGAGGGACTCACCATCAACTAAGTAGCACTTGCTAGGCAAGGGTCATGGGTTCCAAAACTCTGTGAATTGAGAGAGGTTGGGGACAAGTATTAATACTTGGTGGCATGGGCCCCTTACATGCTAATTGCACTTCCTCCTCTCTCCACTGTGGAATATCAGAGTTAATTTTGATTTTATTAGGAGTCTAGTTACAGGCTGCTGAGCTCACTTTGGGCTAATGGTGCACCAGCACTGAGGCTCCCCTACTACAAGCTGAATTCACCAAAGAGCTGAACTGACTAAGAGCTGAAATCACTGAGTGTTGTGTTAAGTAGTGGGGGAGCCTGAAGATATATTGTGGAGCAGTTTGCGGGACAGCTGGAGTGCCTTGTGGACAGGCTGGTGCAGCAGTTCATAGGATGGCGGGAGCTGCTTGTGGGACGCAGAGCAGTTCGTGGACCGGCTGGTGGAGAAGTTCGTGGGACGGCGAGAGCTGCTTGTGGGCCACGGAGCGGAGCTGAACAAAGCAGTTAGTGGGGTGGCTGGTGGAGCGGAGCGGAGCGAAGGCCTATGGAGCTGTGGGGTGGTCAGCTTCAGATCATGTAAGGTGCCCCTTACCCCCGCCCCCATCTCCACCCAGGTTGGGAGGTAAAGCTCTGCAGATAAACTTTCGAACTCTGGGGCTGCCTTGACCAGGGACAGAGACTTTTGGGTCATTGGACTTTTGGAACTTTGGGTGATTTGGGGTTGCTGGACTCAAGAACCAAAGGGAAAGGGGCATGCCCCAATTTGCTTGAGGTGGGTTTTTTTGCTCATGGGTTGTGTTATGAATCCTGTTGGTGGTGTTTCCCCAACATAATGCCACATTGTTTCTCTCTGTTATTAAAAGGCTTTTTGCTACACTCAGACTATGTGCTTGCGAGAGGGGAAGTATTGCCTCTTGGAGGTGCCCAGTGGGGGTGGTATATATTTGTCCCAGGTCATTGGGTGGGGGCTCGAGCCGGTTTGCATTGTGTTATTGGAATGGATCCCCTAGATATTGAACCCGGCCCTTGTTGCTGCCAACTCTGACGGGCAGAAGGGTTACAAACACAAAGAATCTGATCACTTGAAGACTGACCTCTATAATGATGTATGATAAGTGTGTTAACTATGGGGGAGCACTACTTGTTACAAGCCTATAGAAACAAAGGTTCCTGGGCTACCCTGTTGACTATGCTGTTTTCTTGAAACATTGTTTTGAGATCATTGCGCACTCAGAACTCCTTCCGTGGGACTGTTAGGTACACAAGGAATGCAAGGTTATGATCTATGGGGTTGTGAATAGGCACCATTTATTTGGCAATTTGAGAGTACTTGGGCATTTCTCTGGAAACCTGTCAGCGCATAAGCCTGCTACCAAGCTCACAGCCACTGAGAACACAGTGCAACTGAGATTATTTTTGACATTTCCTTCCCTGTTAAAACCTCGGCTACTGTAGACATGTGATTAAAAAAATGAGGGAGGCAAAACTGTCAGCGGCAAGGAAGAGCATGGAATTAGAAACAGTGTGTGAATGGATTTAGAAAGGAGGAAGCAGCTGAAGGCTAAACATGTCATTTTTCAATGGTAAATGGTGAAGCTACTTTCTTCTTTGCATCTTCAACAATTTTAATAACCATTATTTGGGAACACTGCAACATGTTTAAAACAGTTGATATGGAAAAAAATATCAAATCATGTAAGAGAATCTTACTTTTAGGTTCTTTGGACACGACAGGTTCTTTCTCACCTGTAAAGTATTTTTTTAAATTATAGTATATGCACACAAACACAGACAGACAGACAATTACAATAGAAGTGGCTGCCGTGGGGTTGAGTTGTTTGGATGTGCATTGGGATGAGTTACTTAGGGTCCTTTTCACAAGAAAGTTGCACTGATTTAACATCAGATATAAATTTAAACTAAACCAGTGCAAAAAGTGGTGTGAACACAGTTTTTTTGGTTTAATTTAAGAGCACGAATCTATTTAAGAGTAGGTAAAACCTGTTACTGATTGACTTAAACAAAATCAAAATAAGCCTGACCACACAGTTTTTTGCACTCGTTTATCTAAACCTTAAGCTTGTCATACCTTTAGTTAAACTGGTGCAACTCTGCACACAGATAAGATTTTATTCATGATGAGTGAGTAAAGGGGATGTCTTGTGGGTTGATCTGTATGGTGTGTGAGAGAGCTGGACAGAGAGGTATTTGGTGAAAGGTGGCCTATTGGTTATAATGAACTGAACTACCTGCTTTGAGGATTTTTATTTGGGCACCCAGCTATGGCAGTTACGTCCCATTGACCACCTGATTGGTAACACTTAAATACCCTCTCTGCTATTTTAATTAACCTGTGACATATGAAACATGAAGAAACTGCTGGAGTGACAGTAGGAAAATAGAAAGAACTAGTGTTTAGATTGTTAACATAAATAAATTATATATTAATTGCTTCCTTAAACACTAACACTAGAAATATTATTCCAGCATGAAAGCCATCAAAATAGAGTAGACTTGAAGCTGCAAAACAGGACTAGACCATTACTAACAACAATACAGAGTTGCTTGAGTTTAAATTGATGTCTCAATTGTCATCAGAAGGTTGATATGAGATAAGCTAACATCAGTGACTGCCAAGCATTCTAATAAAAAGTCTCAAAAATTCCAAGAGAAACACATTTATATTTGGGTGATATGCTGCTCTGAACCAAAATGTTTCTGGGTTAATCCTCTGCTTCCACTAACTTTCTGGGAAAGCGTGCTTTGCAGGCGTTACTTCAAAGCATGATAATTACCACATTTAGATGAAATTAATCATGAAGCAGCTTACAGCCATGTTATCTAGCTAAGGGGTCTACTGAAGCCTTTAAGAAGTGCCTAGTCGTTGCCAGATATGGAAATTTTAAAAGGTGTATATTGCAGCGATATGAATCATTTATCATCATAATCTGCCATTGCTATAGGTTATAAAAAAAATAAACAAACTGGAAGCATCATTTACAACAACAGACACAATCTAAATAAAGCCCCCAAGCTCTCACTTTCATTTTTTCTCCATATAAGGCATCATTTACTAGGTCAACATTCCTTAATATATTTTAGAGCAGCAAGTTACAGTTAAAGGCATCAATGTGTTTTTCCACTCATCTTAAGTATGTAAGAAATAGTAAAATTTAAGCAAATATCTAAATTGTTTTTCCATTCAGAAATTGTTACAATTTGTTCTTATGTTTCAGAGCAGAAAAATTCATGATGGCTGATTTTAACAACATATAGCAATACAGAAGCAATACTGAAGCCAAGATTTTCAAACCAGGTAGCTTGAAGTTACACTCCTAAATCCATATTCAGGCACTTGGGTTGGAATTTTGAAAGTTAACGTGAGTTGGAGGCAAAATTCTCAAAAGGGATTTAGGCTCCTAAGTCACATAGCTGCTTTTGAAAATTTTACCCTAGGTACCTAACTCCTATAGGCCACACTGAAAATCTCAGTCCTAACTAAGTGGCCTAATTTTGCAAAGTGCTAAACATCCTATAGTTCTCACAGAAGTTTCTGAAAGTGCTCAGCAGTTTTGAAAATCAGGTCACTTATTCAGGTGCCTAAATATGCATTTTGTGGCCTCGATTTAGGAATCCAATTTTTGGAAAGCTTGTCCCAACTGTTTCTTAAGCAAGTATAATTCTCCTATATGACTGCAAATGTCAGGATGAATGGATTCTGAAACTCTTAAGGAGAATGGAAAACAGGAGAATGGAAAGGAGACCAATAAATCAGGTCAAATCCTGGTGCAATTGAAGTAAGTGAGAGTTTTGTCACTCTCTTTAATGTGTCCAGGAGTTAGCTTTTAGAGTATTGTAATACTCGCTTATTGAAATCAAAACATTTATTGGGACACAGCAAGTAATAACTCCAGCACACAGGAGCAGGACTTAAGTTCCTCCTAACCCTTCCATCCCTGTATCCAGGCAACCCGTAATATCAAAACAGGACAACAATGTAACACTAAAATAAAGATACAGAACAACCTATTGATAGAGATGTGGTCAGCCTTGATCATGACAGTATTTTGTTGCAGGGGGAAAATAGCCTTTCATTATTTCTGGCCCTCACAAACATAATTGCCATTTTTTCCTAATAGGCTTTTTTTACTGATCTTCCCTGGCTGACTGATTCTCTCTTTCAGGTGTTCATAGAAAAAAAATTAGCTTATACTTCTCCCCATCAGTATTAGGTGATGTATAGGTGTTCGTCTATATTCCTCGCCTTTATTGGATCTCTTTGCCTATCAGCCCAGGAAGAGCTGTCTGGAGAACTTTCACATTTGGTCCCTTTAAATCTTTCCTTATGAATGTGTGTTCCTTACATCAGAAGATGGTTGAGTATGCTTCCTGGAAGCTATATAATAGCATCAGGAACCATGGCCATCAGGCTGGCACAGAGTGGGAATACTGTTCCAGATGCCTATTGGACATTCCTTGACCAGCAGATAGATTTAGCAATAAGCAAACTGTCTTTGATGTTAGCTGTAGAGACTTATTGATCTCCAGCAATAATGAAAATAGTTTTTGTTTCTTTTAAAAATGATTATTTTCAAAAAGATGGTCCACTGATACTTTACATTAAGCAATAAAGTGGAAATCTTGATAGAATTTTGTGCAGCAGTTAAAATATAGAGCAAGATTTTCAAAAGTGATTGGTGCTTTTTCCTTTTTTTTTTTTTTTGGTGCCCAACTTGAGATACTTTAAAAGGGCCTTTTATCAGAAAGTGCTGAGGACACCTTTGGTAATCCAACCCCTTCTGTTCTGACACTGGAACCTGCCGAACACTAAAGCACCCAAAATCCCAAGTTACTTCTAACAATCTTGGCCATAGCCTTTCCTATAAAGACCCCTTAAAAATTTTACAATCAATAAACCACAGCTAACAGAATCACTTGTCAGTTTTGGAGGCTTGTGAAATATCTCCACTGTAAGTTTACAGGAGTTATTCGTGAATATTTAAAGGCAGACATATTCCAGTATAGGTTATCAATATACCAGCATGTTGTAGAGTAAGGAGACAACTTACCTTCTTTCTTTAAATGTGGAAATGAAGGCTTTTCTTTTACTGGCTCTTGAAAAGAATTAAAGTACAGTTAAACACATTTTTATTTTTTAAAAAACCCAAATATTTTAACAAACATGATCTGGTTTTATTCTTATCTGTACTGGCTAAAAGGATCAATTTTGAATTCAAACTAGAAATAAGCATCTGGCAGCTAGCATAGGTGTATCTCAGTGAAACAGCTAAGCAGTGCTTTATTCTTTTACCCCTTTCTAGTACGGGTAGCTCGAGCTTTTCCTCAGGCCTCGATCAACATTCTTTTGAAGTAAACTAGAAGTACACAGTAGCTGCAAATAACAGCTAAACTACACACAGGGTGATAAAAAAACCTTAAGCTTATATAATGCCTTTCATGCAACTGTATCCCTAGGAGGTTTATAATAAACCATTATACAAGAATGTCCCAATATTCTCTTTCAGAGCATGGTAAGTTTGAGTTTAAGTTAATTGACTAAATATTTCAAACCTTGGTCTGGAATGATTCTACTTTCAGGGTTCGTGATAACTTTACACAGCTTCTCCATAGATTTTTAGCATAATGTATATTTTAGAATAACTTATAGGTCAACTTCAGATATGCTGAACAATCTAAATTTATACACAGGTAGCAATTCAGGTAAATACATAGGTTTCAAATTGTTGACTATCTTCTCTTAGGAGGATGCTCTATGCAGTTTGTATCTATAAGTCTCCTGTTAATTTCAGTGGGAGCTAGGCAAGTATATCAAGGAGTAAAAAGATCCCCAAAGCAAAGCAGCTTTCAACTCAGCTCAGTGGAAATGTAATATACTCTGGTTCTAATGCTAATGCTGCACTGACATGTCAAGTCCACCTGGAGTCAATTCTATTTTGGGAGGCATCATTTTATAAACTGAAGCTAATGCACCCTTTTCTTGGGGAGGCCATAAAACAAAACATTACTACAATCTAACCTAGAGGTTACAAACATAGGATATAGTCTCAGCATCTGTGGATAACCATATTGTCTGAATCCTGCCTCTATATGGTAGATGATATGCTAACCACATATCACGTCAATCCAATGACAGAGTTTAAGGACGCCAAAGTATAGGACATATATTGTGGTCCGCTAATTAGGCTGGACTTAAACCAGCAGGACCCACTATAATCTTTAGATGCTTCAACAGGATCCTTGATTCACAAATTTAAGATAAAAAGATACCAAAGTAGATGCTTCCCATTGTAAACCCAGATGAACACTAATCATATACCTTACTCTCCCTTAGCTGGTGGCCAGATGCTAGCATGGACTTAACCAGGTCCTATGGCTGTACTATGCTGTGTATGGGTCTTGTACAGAAACACAGCAGAATCAAAGGTCTCATACAACGTGCAGAAGCTCTATCAGGTAAGCCAAAAAAGAACCCTTCCTTCTGTCCAAGCCACGCAGAGATTTGCAAACCTTGCCTCGGATGGAAGTTGCAGTTTGCATATCTTATAATTTCTTCTTACTTTTGCTCCTTATTAAAAAGCTAATTGGAAGCTAGAGTGAGAGAAAAGATGAACAGAAATGTCAGATATCAGAAAGCTGCATACTGAAAGTGGTCATTAGACGTTTTTTCAGTATTTTACATTCAGAATGGTTCTTGATCAGCAGAAGAGGAACTACTGACCATGCTATTATTGGCCAAAATGTAACTGAGAACAGCATTTGGCTGCTTGACTTGGGTCTTGCACATTTGACACAACAACAGGACTTTTAAGCCAATGTGTCTTATATGGATGACAATTAAAGTCCCATTTGCTGCCCGTAGCAAGGGTTCAAAAGAGTGGAAATAGGGGAGGTAGCAGGAGGCATCTGATGTGTGAGAATTTCCATCATCAGAACAAAAAAACACAAAGTCACTGAGAGACCAATCTCCGTGTAGTCTGCTGTCATGCTAGCAGATGTACCAGAATTTAAAAACAATTAGTTGAGTAGGGAGATTTACTAGCTAATATGAATTACTATAGTAGAAGAGTAAGACACCTCAGACAGTTGAGCAATATGCAGTTATGAATGAGTGTATATTTCATTGTGATTAAACAAACATTCCCAGTCTTCTTCCAGCGCACACAATTTTTAAGTAAAACAATTAAGTTTCTGGTATATTTCACAGATTAATCTTGTTAACCTTCCCTCAAATCCTCTGTATAATCATGTGTTAATCATGAGCAGAGATTTGGGGAGGAAGCAGCAAAATATTGTTTTGCTAAGGCCGGAGCTGCCTGTTCACATCTTTCTCATGGAGCCCACTACTGCCACATTCTCAGTGGCTACTAGCAAGGGAAACTGCCTCCTTCCAAGTGCCTCTAGGTGTGCATAAGGAATGTTCCAGATAGTCCTAGTGGTCCCCTCCCCCCACCCCATCAGCCACTCTAACAACACACAAGGAGAAGGCAAGGGCCAAGCTGCTGCTTCACTGAGTTAAGTCCCAAAGACACTGGAACCTGCCTTTCTCCCTCTCAGTGACTGCCTACATAGCCCTAGCCCAGAGTTTAAAGAGCTTCAATTTGGAGGAAGTCTGGACTTCTTCTCCTTCACCTACCAATCCAGGAAAATCCACTCCTTCTCAAAGACCACCATCATTGCTCCCTCCTTCCAACCAATCAACGAGGGGAACCTCCAGCACTTAGGGAGACCTGATTACCGCATAAACCAAAGGGGATCTAAGTGACCAACCACCCCACAGCCTAGAACTCCTGGATAACTTACTTGGACAAGTGCTACTGCTGTGATGAAACTGATAGAGGAGGGCTCTAGAGGGGCTTCAGTGAGCTGAAACCATGAGTTTCAGGAAGTATTAGACTGAGTGGCAGGGGAAAGACTTGCTAGCGAGGGGATGTATGGAGCTGATAGGATTTCTGGGAAAGACAGAGAATAGAATTAATGCACGGGGGGTGGTTTAGGATTGTGTGGTAGTACGTTAACCAGGGAATATCACATGCATCACTGATGAAGGTGGAATTTTTTTGATGAGGCCTTGATAACTTTTTGACAGCACATCACTCATCTAAACATTTCAACTGCAAGTTGTTGGGCAGGGAGCATATCTGTCTGTGTGTTGTCTGAGATGTCTCAATACATCACCAACAATAATAATTCCCTGACTCAAAACAATTGCTTGCAAGTAGTTCCTGTTGATTAAGAATGGCAACATATTCTCTTAGGGCCTGAATTTCAGGTCTATATCAGTGCCCACCATGGGGTCAATCCACTGGGAACAAAGGTGAATGGACTTGATAATCTAATGGGTATGGGCTAGATAATTGTATAGTTTTTTTCTTTCTTTAGCTACTACAATAATTATCAGCTGAACAGCATTCAACAGGAGTTTTAAATACAATAAATAAAGACTTCAATGAATCAGAGGATTTGAGTGGCTGAAATTCTAAGCCATCTTGCACCATATTTTCAGTTACGACTTGTAAATGAGCTCTACATTTTAGTGAACAAGCATGAAGCCTGTCTGTCCTGATCGGCACCATGCCAGAGGAGGGTAATAGCCTCAAGCCTGTAGAACACTTCAGACAGAAGCAGAGTGAAATGTTTGTGAATGCATCCCATCTACAGTAAATGCTACCTCAAAGAAAGCAGATGACCCCATGAGAATTCAAAAAAGTTCCACCATAGGAGTCAGATGTAAACCAAGTAAGAGAGAGGAATGAGCAGGCAGGTGATTCACCTACATGTATAGGTGAACTTTGGCAATCTCCAGTTGAAAATATACCAGTGACTCATGTTTTCATTTTCTTTAATGCTTAATTCTTTTCCACTTAGGAATTATTAAAATGAAATCAGCTTTTCCCACTAACAGCATGGTCCACAGCCATCTGTGGCCATTAGGGATGTTAACAATAGATTAAGAGTTTCCATATGAGATTATTATCGTACAGGCATCAGAACTACATATATTTACACAGGCTACAGTCAATTGGGGGAAGGAAGAAAAGGTATTTTGTAAGATGTGTGATCAGGGGTTCCTAAACAGTGCTATATGTACTACTGGTGGTACGTGAGCTATATGGTCTAGCCATTCATTTTGCAACAATTTTTTAAGGTGATGGTATGTGAATCAATGAAATTTGGGAGCTACTGGTATAGATAACAACACTACTCCTTAAAATAAACCACCACAGGCCAGATCATCTATGCTATAAATTGTCATGGTTCCATTGACTTCAATAGATATTTACAACAGACCCTATATTTTCAAACATTGGAGGATTTGTGAATTCTCCTAAAACAGGGGCAATCCACATTTCTTTTGAACAGGTTGAGCACAAATACATTCCAAATTGTATATTTGCAATGGGTTCAGCAGTTTTGTGGTGAAACTTTGGCTGTAAATACTTATGGGGAATGAATAAAGTCTGGTGCAAACTTAAAAATGTCTGAAGCCATTACAGAAAAGGAGCCTGAAATAAAGATTATATTCCAAACTGCCTCATGAAGCTGACAAATTCTTTGAGCATGAAATATCAGACTAGGTTTTGTTTACTCTGTGCTGCAAGTTGTGCATGATGTCCCTTTAAATACTCCTTATTACATTTCCCTTACTTCCTTTTGCTGCAGGTTCAGATATATAAAGACTTTTAGGTGAAGTTTTCTAGGATGTACATTTTAGTTGTATTTCTGAATGTACATAGTCAGCATTCTCACTGTGTGTGAAAAGGGAAATCTGAATAATGCAATGTCCATTCACTCATCTTTATCGGTGACATACAGTACTCTAATTACACCCTAAAAAGTGCAGCAAAAATCTATGAGGAAGCAACTTCACACAGAACCTACTGCAATCAAGATAAAAATCAATGCATTTGTAACCATGACTGTGTATGGCTCTTCCTCTCAAGAACATCTGCCCATTCTATTATCCTAATCATTTAACCATATTTCTCTCTGAGTTAAGTATAACAAAGCCACAAAGCTGACTCTGCGTGTTAAAAACCAGAGCAAGAATGCCCATTAGGTATATTTTATTAAAAAGTTAAACAATCATAACTAA